CCGTTCACCGTTTTCCAAGAAGAAAAATCGTTATCTCGTATCATTTTTGGCAACTAGCCGCAACGAATAAAAAAGTGCCTTTGTCGGCACATTAATTGTAACACCGCGCAAAGTTGATAAGGCGAATCACCAGAACACAGAGACGTAATTTTATATTATGGGTATTTGTTTAAATGCTTGTAGAATATGAATAATTTATTGCAAGTGCATATAAATATATTTCCACCTTGTGAGTTTGATAATGTTGGTGTACTCGAGTATTCGAGTATTCGAGTATTCGAATATTCGAGTTTTGACTAGACATAATTATTCGCTTTTTGAATATTCGAACACTCGAATACTCGAACTATTCGAGTTCGATTCGGAGCCCTACGTTAGATGCATACAGACCTAGTACATCTAAAACGCCTGATGTAAAATCTGAAGAGGAGACATTTTACGAACAGGAGCAAGTAAAAGATTTTGCAAGAACCGAAAACTTTGCTTGTAGTGGTACATCAGTAGCCATACAAGTAAATTTAAGACCGAAGTATAGAAGCAAGTAATCTCAACGTAACTATCGCACAGCTACAGTTTGTCAGAGTTGTTCGCCTATTAAGTGCTCAACTACTAGTACTAGTCACTTGCATTGAAGCACACTTTTATCAAAATTGAAAATAATCCAAGATTATGCATGTAAATAAATAAAGACGCTTTATTTATAATTAAGCTACTTAGACATACTACAAAATTACATTTTGTAAATATTTATCCGGTTCTTTAAAAAATTTGCGTTGACAAAACCTTTGCTGGACTTGGTGATGATTTTGGATTTTTAATTAGATTGGATTAACGAGATGTTAAATACTTTAATAGTCTGGATGCCACCTAATAGAGTGAAAAAACGGCTACCTATACCTTTTCGTACACATTATAATAAAGTTTTTAAGGTCGCCATAATCGATTCTTTAGAAATTAAAATTCAGAAGGCGGAAGATCAAGTCAGACAAGTTCTATTTAGCAATTCAATCAAAAAAGCTTTATTATTTTACATTTCGTCGTGTTAATGTTTTAAAGACGCTTAGCTTGCTCCTATGCAATGTGCAAGTGTACATTTTCCTGGTTATGGGCACATAAGCGTAGGATTTGTGCCGCTCTACGTCACAGCCAGTAAAACAACGTTCTCGCTTCAGGTCATTTTACAAGCAAATCTGGAAACCTTCGTTCCCTTTTGTTAATATAAAATAATTTTTTTTAGAAATTTGCTTTAGGCGTTGTTCTAAACGACCCACACTCTATGTTTGGGAGAAGTTTCAATCAAAAAATTCACCAAAAATTTACCAAAAAATGTTTTTGTGCAACGACCCTATTGAGGTTTGTATTATTAAAACGTTTTTATCAACACTAACCGTCGTCCATAACATGAGCATGTTAAGTATTCAATACTACAAATAAATTTAAATAAATTCATAACAAAGGAAAAATGTATGATTCAGTTCAGCTTTATTGATTATAGCTATATGTTAGCTGGCAAGAGAAAGCAACCCTTTATTCTAAAGCCCAAATATATTGCAGCTTATATTATTTGAAAATCAGTTTAAAGGGATTGATTTTTCGTTAATCCTTGTAAATTATTGTTATTTCAAACCGTTTTAAAAATTGAATAAATTTATTTAGATGACTATATTTTTAATGCGTAAATTTTATAAACGTAATCAAAATAAGTTTCTTTTGGTCGAAACAGTCCAAATATTTCTAAACCGTATTCACTTTTGGGAATATAAAATAAAGATGCTGAAATGGCATATGAAAAACACACCTACGATATTATTATTTTGCATTCTGTCAGTCCTGTTTATGAAACTCGTCGCCTTTGATGAGATAGTAAAAATAAACCAATTTTTGTTCTTTCTTTGCTCTTGAAATGTAGGAATTTTGACACGCGCAGAATGAATGGGAAGATTTATTATATCTAAGGGAATAAGCTCAAATCAAATAGTGTCAATGCAATTCCGAATGCCTTTGTCGACATTCATATGTTTAGGAAAAATCATAGATCAAAATGTAGGTTTTGTTTCAAAGAATAGAGAATGTTGTATCTTAAAAATGAATATAAATCACTGACTTGTCAATGAGTACATCCTTCGAATATTTATACGAAATAACATTGGAAAAGCTTTTATATTTACGACTCGGTTGAAATTGTCTTATTGCGATCTATTATTTACCCCAAACATAATATATTTGTATAACTAATGAGAAATTAGAAGCGGTTTCAACTTTTTTCGTCTATTCGATGAAAATTTAAGCTAAGTAGAATTACTGTAAAATTACAGATCTTGCAAAATGGAGAACAAGTGTTTTAAAATCAGCCAAACCCAAATAGCAGAGATGCAAAATTGAGAAAATGGTGAATCTCGATATTTTAGGCCAGAGTAAAATCCAATTAATTTCATACGTTTCGCTTACACTTGTGATTGGCATCTTCAGAAGTGGTTATTGGCGCAAAATGGCACGTTGCTATCTTAAGTTAGCGATCCATATACATAGGGGAATATATGAAAAACTAATTTTTTTATTTCCAGGTATAGTGTTCTACAATGAATGCATTTATGTATTGAAAATTTAATGACATAAATTTGTAAGTAATATTAATGTAAGCAATTAAAAATTAAATAAATATTTAAATACAAATACGAGTTTATTCAAATTGAAATGCAGGCCAGAATCTCGCCAATCAACTCATCTATTTATGTTTAATGCTAATTTAAATACTTGAAGTTGGGAATTAATTGCTAAAGCATTTTAATTATTTTAAATATTTAAATACTTGGTGCAAAATCAATGTTTACTTGTAATTCTGAATGTTGAACGAACGGGCTGCAATGTAAATAATCATAATCTGATTTGTTCGTTTGAACTGATAACGAAAAATTAGGTATAAAACAATTTTTGAAGAACATTTTTACTGTTATTGAAATAAAAAAGAATCTGAAAAGTACGACAGATGCAGTTCACTAATGATGTTTATAAACCAGGATGCAAATGGATTTTAAATTGGAATAACGCGAAGTAGATTGTCAGCGCTTTATCCCTACAGTTTAATAATTAGTATTTTCTGGGATGTAGATTAACAAATAGTAGTCAGTTATTTATCACCAATAATTATATATCTAGAGTACCTCAGAATTTTGATGTTACGAGGGTCGTTTGATAAGTCGGTGACTTTTTGAATGAAAGAAATTTTTTTCGGTCAAAAAAGTGTTCATTTCTCAACATATCTCCTTTTAGCTTTCCATTTTTGTATTCCTTCTAAATAATATAATTTCTCGACGACCTCAAAATATGCGTTTGTTTCAATGATGACCTCTTCATTGGACCCATCTCTTATCGTCCATCCATTTCTTCAAGTTTGGAAACAGGAAATAGTCGCAGGGGGCTGAATCTGGAGAAATTGCTAAAGTTCGTAGCCTGGTTCATGGATTTCGCCATGGCGACTACGCACGTGTGCACCCGTGCATTTTCCTGATGAAACAGCACTTTTTTGCCAAATGCGGCCGTTTCAGCTTAAATTCAACATCGAATCTGTCCAAAAGCTCTGAAGCTGAAGCGGATAGCTTTTTCATATCCAAATATTTACGTAAAATGTGATGTACCCTCTCAGTTGAAATGACTACAGGCTCAACCACCTCACGCACTTCGCTATTCTCCGATCGTCCAGTTGGTTCCATGGATTTTATGGACCATTTCTGGCGTAACAACCCCTTTTGGACGACCTGAACCTTTGCGTCATTTGTGCTTGTACGACCTCAACGAGACCTCAGTAAACCACTTCCTAACCATTGAAATTGATGGTGCAGAGTCCCCATAGTATAATCATTTATTCCTTCGTTTATTTAGTGGTATTTTACGTAAACAATAATGCTTTATCAGCACTCGAAATTCACTTTTTTTCATTTTAGTCGTAATTGACAAAGTCATCTCCTTTCAATGACTGTTAAACTAACAGACGACACTTGACGGGAGTAGTGTTGAATTTAAAGTCACTGCGCAGGAAATTAAAAAGGTCACTGACTTATCAAACGACCCTCGTACTTTTAGTGACTACTACTGTTACTACTAAAAGATGAAATAACGGCGTCAAGTATTTTATTAAAATAAAAATATCTTTATCAAAACACCTTCTTATCTTTCCTGGGTCTCAGTCAAATTGTGAAGTTAAAATTTTTGAACATCATTTATTTCACTACGTTTCGGCGAGACAACAGCGCCATCATCAGATCTAAAATTTACACAAACTCATGATTGGTAAAAATCAACGTTCTTTTAGGTCTTTGCCTTTTTGAAACCTTAAATTTATCTCATCAATCTCATGTCTCAGAGACAAATTTAAGGGAAAAAACAGGAAAGATAAGAATATCATAACAAGTACACGCAGTCAGGAAAATAAGTCAGAATATCAAAACACCGACAAAGATGGCATTCAATAATGGGCACTTAAATAATAATACACTTTTCAGTCAATTGCTGTAAGTGATGAAAAACGAGAAACCAAGATATTACATTAAACATATTAGAAAAAATGGTGCGTCAGTTTAGTCATTAGTTTTCACTTTGTCACTTAAAAAGTGCTTTCATTTATTGGAAACTGATATTTAGTCGAATTGAGTATCAGAAAATAAATGAGATAAAACACATAAATATCAGCGTAATTTCGCATTAAACATACTTTATTCAACGGAAGGCTGTTTATCAAGTTCGTACATTTAAAGCTGATCTATTTATAAGTTATCAACCTATAGGCTCAATTGTGTGTTAATGTTCCCTAAATTTGAACACGTTCCCATTAAATTGTAATCACCATGAACTGAATGAATGGAAAACTACATGTTGGCGCCAATTGATTTATGTTTGAGATATAAAGATGCGTTCAAAATGAGCGATAATTTATGATTTCGACTAGTTACATATCTGTTTTGCTGATTTGCTGTTTAACTAATAATGTATTTTTAATATTGCAGTGGAAATAGCGTTTTTGATTTGGGGAATTCGACTTTGCGTCGTAGTGCGAAAGGCTCCTTCCGAATTCAACGAAAGCAAATTTATCTCTCTTGCAATCTACAACGAATTCGTACTGTGCTTGTTCCTGAATGTTACAACGTAAGTAATCAATAGATTTAAATAATCTCCCGATTTATATTTTAAATTCAATTTTACTTGATGTTCCGTAATTGCCCCGAGTTTTCTGGCACACAAAATGTTATTTATTTTACATTGTTTGATATGTGTGAATGTTTGATAAAAGGGTAACCTTTTTTCTGAATCTGTTATTCAGGAAATCCTCAGAAACTAAAATATAGTTTAGCAAAATCTCCCAAGCTTATATGCAAAAAACTACTTACTACAGACGAAATCATTAAGAAATTATAGAAAAATCAAATACCTACTCTTAGAAGTACTATCTTCGTCACAATAGTTATCATTTTCTTATATAACTATCTTCAGAATTACAACAATTCCCTGATGAATGAATTGAAATAAGACAATGGCTTTGAGATATCATCGTTACAAATATTGAAGTAGTGGCAGTCATCGCAATTCTGTGCTGCATAATAGCAAAACAACGGTTCAATTATTAAGCTCCCTGATTTAAATGCAAAATCCAAATTAAAAGCTCTTACTGTTTGTCACTATCTTTTTTAAGTTAGTTCTATCTCCAAATCCTTTTGCGCATTTCTTTAGCTTCCTAAGAATTGAAGTGGATTTTTAATCTTGAAATAAAACGGTTTGGCATGCCGCAGTGCTCAGACCTCTCGGTGAGAATTTAATTAAATATTTCGGATTTTTTTAAATAACCCTGTCGCCTCTACTAGTCTGTATAATGGATTTTAGATTTATAACTCAGCTCTTCTTGTTGATCCTGCCGGTTCAAGATTAGTTAGATCTAAAACGTGTCAGACAGATTTTTGTGTATCTCGACAACAGCAACAAATTCTTCAGACCCGTACCTCTCAAGCAGTATGGCAGACAAAGCCTTCAACGGTATTAAAGAGTTATAGCATTGAAGTTCAGTATTCTATCCTTAAACCCTGAATTACTTTACAAACAAGATCTACCTTTGACCTATCCAACATACGATAAATCATTAAAGTAGGTCGTTCGAAGCACTGGTTAAAACAATTATTCATGAAGGTATTAAGCGTTGGTCACTTACGAAGCAGTTTTCATATCACAAAATCACTTGCAACACTTTTGTATTTATTATTGTAAGTATTTCGGTGAGTATTAAGGGTCCATCATTGAACTGATCAACGTTGACTTAGAATTCAACTTTAAACCCTCAAAAAATTGCAATATTGCTTAAGTTAATCTTTGAATTAGCATTGCTTAATCTTGGGAAATCTACCAACAGACACTAAGTAACTTGTTCTATTAAGAGCCTGTATGACGTGAAGCTAACCATAAAATAAATTTGAAATTTTTAGACAAACAGACAGCATACACTGCAATAAAATAGACATGAACGAATTTACAATAGACATTCACTCAAATTGAATGACCTGTTGTTTGAAACTGAGCGATCACATGCTCCAGCTTCCGATGGAAGAGTTTGGTATAATTTGCGAGATATTTACACCGATAGTTCGAAGTTTCAAGTGCAACTCCGCTAGGAGCTCGTGTTTGTTTACCTACTAACAGTTGGCAAGTCTCCATTTTAATAGAAACTTCTAAAAACCATCATACTTAACACCGCCTAGAATAAACATACACTTAGCAACTTATTTTAGATTAGAACGGAAGCTTGCTTAACTGGTTAGAGTCAGCCCCTTTTGGAAATTTCAACACTTAAAAGACCATTTTGCAATCGATTAATTAAAATTGATTACCTGGTTAAAGCATTTATATGCACACTGGAGACCTAATTCCTTTTGAGAAGGGTTGCACACTGGAGAGTTTTATTTACATCCCTTAGTTCTTGCTTAGTTAAATATAGAATTATTAAAGAATAGCTGAAATTAAAAAATTAGTTAACCTAAGCTACCCCAAACTCATGACATCATAACACTATTTGTATATGCTTCTACAATAATCTATACATATACAATTTACTTTTTATGCTAATTGCTATTTTTTCCAGTAAAAACAAATCTTTTTTCTTAAATTAACTTAAGGGGCCTCGTATATTCGACCATTTTCTTCTTACAAAATGGGGCACTTCGAATCACATCTGCCCATGCCTTAAGCAGAACATACGAATTTAAAATCACTAGTAATCTAGTTTTACTACTCTAATTGCATTGTGGCTAAAATAACAAGATCTGGAAAACTTTCCTTGTACTTGCCATAATAAAGCGATTTGATTTTTTTTAATAGGCACTTAAACTTAAGAGTTCGTTATAGTAATCACAATTGCATGAGGCTTTTCCAAATAAAAGCTAGACATCTGATGTTTCCATAATTTTATAGTCATTATTTTAATAGATTAACTACAAAATCTTAATTTACTGGCGGATGTTTTTGATTTGCTGGAATATTTAGTTGAATATTTCAAAGATAGACTGCATATGAAAAATTAAATAATTACGTTTTTTTAAGTAACACTTTTGTTAAGAAAACAAATTCCAACTTTTGCATGCTTTTTGGATAAGACATACATGAGATATTTAGATATAGACGTTATTGATAAAATAAAAATCTCACAAAACTACTTGGAGCATTTGCCCAATTTCCAAGATTTAGCTGAAACTTTCAAGTAAGTAAATTAAATTAGACCAAAAAATGTAACTCTCAGAAGTGAAATAACTTATCAGATCGAGGATTCTTCAATTTGTAAAACCCACTCTGATTTCGCTTCAGATGTTTCCAGTAAATCACCTCTATCTTATTTACTTGAATCAAATATAAAAAGGAAATTGATTGAACCGATGTCTGCATTTTTTGCGTCAAATATCAAGTAATTGGCTGTTTGAAAATAAAAGTAAATTTTCTATTAAATCAATTCTGAGATAAGAGATTTTCGAGCGTTTTAAGAAGAATGGTGTAGAGTCATCATACATTCAGTCGCATCAATTAATCAGAATTTAAATAGAGTATCAACTACTAATTATACGTATCCCTAGACTATAAAATTACCAATAAAGCGACACCATTGACATGGGAATCAATCTCAGGAAGAGCGATTGACAAAGCCAAAGCACAATCAGAATTGTTCCGTTAGAGACAGTGATATGGATGGACCTTTGAACTTAGCTAATAATACCTTAAATTAGTATTTGGGGTAGCCACAATAAAAGAAGCATTTCATAATGAACTTTAAAACCTGAAATACATATATCACAATTATTTAATCTAATACTGTTAACTTTTTCATTTTCAGTTTTTTCTTGCAAAAACCTGCGAATCCAGATTTGATGTACATAATATACTTTGTGCACACTCAACTTAGCGTAACTTTGCTATTGGGCCTGATTTTTGGAAGCAAGGTAAGTCACCTTAAGTAACAATTTCATAAAAGTGCTAAGAATATAGCTTATGCAGCTGTAAATCTAATTTTGCTAATACTGAATTCTAACTGTAAAAAAATATCAATAGCCATAGAAAAGAAAATATTTCTTTTGCCGATAAATCCCTTTTCCACCAGCTTCGCTTTTATAAAAATTCTATAGAGGCTATTTGCAGGCATAAAAGTATAAAATATTTTATTCATATTTAGAAGCTTTTATAAATATAAAAATATTCCAAAAGTGTGTTGAAACAGCATACAATCGAGCTTCAGCAATGCTTAATACTAAAAATGTATCTTATTGGCAAGGGATTTAATTTTTGCATATACATCAGGGTGTTTGGTAAGTAGATGCATTCCTTATCGGAGGTGAAAGTGCACGTAGTTTTTGAAATATTTCTATAGTAGATCATATTCCGAAAACTCTTAGTCTCCGATCTACACATCTACAGCGTGTTAAAGTATTAATTTAAAAAATGATACTTTTTAATATTGCGGAACCCCCTTGGAATATTTTAAGCAATGCATTTACAGCAATACATGTTTTGTGAAAAAAAAATTGTTTTTAGCTTCTGCAGTGACGTGGGCACAGGCGCGACTGTAGATAATTTTAAATAAAAAAAATGTTACGCCACTGATTTTTTAAGCAATAAATCAGTGACCATAACTAGTGCAGAGCCAACTTTTTAAATATAAACCCGATTACGCTGAGCTTTAAAGAAATATATCCAAATTACTTGCTCTATCACCTTCTATAAGGAATGCATCTACTTATCAAACACCCTGTATATGCAAAAATTAAATACCCGGCCAATAAAATACATTTTTAGTATAAGCATTGCCGGAGCTCGATTGTATGCTGTTTCGACACACTTTTGGAATATTTTTATATTTATACCCCGTATTCAGGAGATTGATCAGCCACTTTTTCACATCATAATATGGCCGTACGTTCATTACGGTTATTTGTTCAAAATAAATTTTGTATTCTCAAAAATAAACGGAAATCCCTAAATGGATATCATTTTTTTTTTAATAATATATTGGCTAGTATTTCTGCGAAAAGAACGCCTACCGAAGCTTAAATTAAATTTTCTAAATAATTAATCTAATATAAAAGTCTGTACCTAGCTTAAATTACTGTTTTCCCGCAACACTTATAAAAATAAACTTAAAGAACAGGTAGTCAGATATTCAAAACTACAATACAATTTTTAACATTTCCTGCAGATGTATTGGATTAATGAGCCATAAATAACAGTTACTGGCTCAGTTTTTTAAATGATCATTTATGCTTGAATATACGTCAGGGTAGAAATATGCAATTTATTTCGATTAACTTTCCGCTTTGAAAGAATGAGAGCATTCCTAGAATTCTAATTTATATCAGAACATCGTATGATATTTGGCATGGAAAAAGCAGAGCATCCTAAAATGATGTAATAACCTTCCTCAAAATATATTTGAGACATGATATTTTCCATTGTCAGTAACATTTAATAGGCACCAATTTTACTATTGAATATTTTTTAATGATATAATCGAAATATATGCGTTTTTGATGAACTGAAACTGAAGCCGAAATAATTTTTAGTTGAAATTTATTTAATAAATTTAATTCAAAAATACGTAATAACATTTTATTATTTTAGGTTATAATGGTTATTAAAAATAAAGGAAAACAACAAGAAGATGGATCTAGCATGGTGTACAAAACTCCATCGAAATTCCTGATCAAAAACCGACATGAAACATCTCAGTACACTAGCGCAAACTCCTCTGTAGCTGGGCAGGAAGTAGTTTATTCCAAATATAGCGAACAAGATATACAAGAAGAATTTTTAAGACTTTACACCCAACTTGAATTGCTGAAGGAACGCAATATGCGAGTTGGAAATCGACATTTGGCTTCAAAAATCAACGCGATGCAAGATGCTGCACGAATGTGTGATGACAACGAAAAATCATCCATTATAATTCGCAGTAGTAGTAGTCTTTGCATATCTCAAGAGCGATCAATTACTGACACTGCCGACGAATCGTATGTAAAAATTAAGCGTCAAAGTGTTTCTTTCGCAGTGGATTCCAAATCTAACGACGAACCTACCGTTACCATTGAACACAATTCCAGTAATCATGCAGTGGGAGATACACTTACTGTACCAGATCAACAACCAGCTATTGTAATTTCGGAGGAAACATCCAAGCGGAAAGAAGATGAAAATACTGATATTGAAACGGATGAAACCAGCTCAACATATCCTTCTAGTGATACGAAAAAAACTAGTGCAACTGATACCAATGGTAGGCATTTGTTGTCAGGTCATGCCCGGACACATTCTATTGTTATCAATTTAGATGATAAGAGTCGTTTTACTGATGAAATAACTGTTTAAATGATGTACTTCGTTTTTGTTAATGTACCTGATGTAAGGTTGTAATATAAGTGTGACTCATTCATTTTTAAATAAATGTCTAAACAATTTACCTTGCCGTTTTATTGCATTTGGATTTGCTGGATGAAAGCGACTGGTTTTGAAAAGTAATTTATTTGCATTATCTGAACGATTTTCATTATTTGCTGAATGCACATTATCACGTTTAGTTTAATTTTATTGGACCTTATTAAGCTAATATTTTTCGAATTCCACGAACGTATAATAAGCGTTTCATGTCCAAGGGAAGCCGTTAGCACACCAATGGTGAGGTTTTAGCGAAAGAATAAAAGTTGTCAGCGATTATTGACTCAATCCTGATATTCATGCAGCATTTAATATCGAATTTAAAACTAGAAACAAGCGAGCAAAGGGTAGGTAATGCAAATTTCCATAATATTTATGTGCTTGTAATTTCATTTCAATGATGATTTATCATCCAAGGTAAAATAGATAATATTTTTAGAAAATATAAAAGTATACGTTCTCTTTGAAAAATCCTTTGATTTTCATACATTTTCATTCATAAGAATGATGATTAAACAAAAGATATTAGCATTTTATCACATTATTTTAAATGGTTCAAATTCTCAAACTGGGACGTATACTGGGACGCTAGACTGAACAATTGCCGTAGAATATTTTACACCTTGTTAATTTAAAAGCAAAATCGTATGAGAATTTCCTGAATGTAGTTGAATCGAAGTTTCGAAAATAGAGAGTTAACAAAAAATAGATACTATTATGATACGCTCTATTAGTTCACCATCAAACCTTTTGGAAATGTTATGGAAACTTTCAGCTTTTTAAGAGACAAAGGTTGCAAAGATTGCCAGTCGCTACCTGCTTTTGTTTGGAAGATGCGAATTTCTGAAAGCCAGATCGCATTTGCGTTGTTGTGCAGGGGAGAAATTTCGGATTCTTAGGGTCATTTTTAGAGTCAAGTATCTTCTGATGATAGTAAAAATTCCCAGTTGCTACTTGCTTCAGTTTAGCAGATGCGAATTTTTTAAAGCGTGATTGCAGTTCGGTATGAAGTTCTATTTTGAGACTAGATGTTTACTAGACCGAAAAATATAAGATGCAAGGCGATTTTAAGGAAACGTCGATCATTTTCAGCGTCAAGCATGGTCTGACGGTCGTCAAAATTACCTTTTGTTGATTTTCCATTTTTGGTTTAGTTTTATTTCACTCTGGGAAGACATATACATTTTCAGGTGAGCTTACTTAAATTTTCAGTAAAAATATTTTTATTGTTAACACCTAGGGTTACCAAATTGAAAAAAACCTACGACCGGAGGTCGAGCAAAATGAGTTTCGGACCAAAATATTTTTAGGGTAGCTTGATAATCGATGAAGAAATAAATACGGTAATACTATTACCTTAATTTTTATTATGTTATTTTTATTATGTAAAGAGCTGTATTGCATATGCATGTATGGTCTGCAAACTCTGAGCAGTTCATTTGAAAATTAAAATGAACAAATAATTCTGATTTTACTAGGTTGACAAACAACCTATTTCTTTCGTCGCTCCATAAGTTGCTCATTACGCTAAATACGCGCTCGACGCACGCATTGTTAGGAGCTACGCAAAAAACGTATTGCACAGTTTTGAAAAGCTCTGTTGCCTCGGTATTGGTAAGAAATGTCACCCATTTGTGTGTAAGAGTCTTTTCATCAGATCCGTTTCTTTCAAAAATTGCTCCAACTGACATAACTCATAAAATATTTTATCTCCTTCAACTGAAATTTTGAATAATTGAGTAACCCCAAAATATTTTTTCAATTGTCAATTCTTGACTTAAATTAAACGGCTTTACCAGTTTATAAAAAGAGTTGTCATTGAAATCAAACCACTTTTCTAAGTATTCAATCATTCTCTTATACACAGCATTCGCTTCATTCAGAAATGTATCGCGATCTGATTTACTAACCGTTTTCAAAAATTGGGAAAGTTTCTCATACCCCTGCTAATAAAATAAGATTTTAGAACTGGCCAGCATAAAACAATACGGTGAACTGCCGGATATAAGCTTTAAAACAGAGTGGATACTAGGGATGGTCCGTATTTAATGTAACCGCTAAAATAACAGTGTTCCCAATTTCCCAAAGCTAGCCGATTTAACCGGTTTTCTTGGAACCGTCTCATAAAACCGAAATAGCGGTGCGCACTTTGGACACCGTCGAGTGATCTATCCCGCTGCAGCCGTTTGCCAATTTAAACCGTTCTTTTTGGAACCGTCTCATAAAATCGAAACAGTTGTGCGCACTTCGCACCAGCTGCAGCCGTTTGCCGATTTCAAGGTTGTTTTTGAAACCGTCCCATAAACCTGAAAAACTGGTTCGCGTCAGCACAGAACCGATGCGCCATCGTCAAGCGCTCTATCCAGTTGCAGCAGTTTCAGTAAGTATTTAGTTTTCTGACAATCTGTAATAAATCTTTAAAAAGGGAGTACACCGTAGCGAGCGGACGTGTACGGTGAGCGCGAGTATTTTGAGTGTGAACACTTTTTCGCCCATATCAGGATAGTGATATAGCAATTGCAAGAACCTAAATAATTCGTGTAAACATATACAACCTTGAGAGCCCCAGGCGTCGGAGACCGACCATGAGTTCTGTGTATTCGCAGGATTCGGGATCGGAAAGATTATCGG